CACACGGTTCCGTCGATTCCAACCGCTGGACTTCAACCTGAAAAGTTCAATGGAACAAACTTCAAGCAGTGGCAGAAGCGGATGCACTTCTTTCTGTCCACGTTGCACCCGGCGAAGTATCTAATTGAGACTAAACCAGTGCTTCCTGCTGAGAATACAGATCCGCACATGCTTGCCACTGTCCAAGCATGGATCCATGCGGACTTCCTGTGCAAAGGTTACATCCTGAATAACCTTGCAGATCAGCTGTACGGCCTGTACAGTGAAGGTTACGAGACTTCCAGAGATGTGTGGATTGCTCTCGAAAACAAATACATGACCTTCAACGTGAGTTCTGGAAAATTTGCAACTGCGAAACTCCTTAACTTCAGGATGGTAGAGTCAAGGCCTCTTATGGATCAAGTGCATGAGCTACAAACGATATTCCAGCAAATATCAGATGAAGGCATGAAGCTGTGTGAGACCTTCACGGTTAACTGCTTCATGGAGGTGCTGCCCCCATGCTGGGACGGTTTCAAGAGCTACCTCAACTACAAGCAGAAGCCTCTGTCGTTGGCTAACTTGATTACCAGGCTTCAGAATAAGTCAGAGAAACGTGACAAGGCTGAACCACCTCAGACACATGACGCAAATGTGGCTGAGTTTAAGAAAAAGGGGAAAGGAAAGGGATTTCCTCCAAAGGCTGCGATTTACAAAGTTGCAAATCAAGCCCCCTCAAACTTCAAGAAGCAAGCTCACACTCCTAATAAGAAGTTCTCTGGGAAGTGTAACCACTGCGGCAAGATGGGACATCGTGCTACAGACTGTCGCAGTAAGGCCAAGGGTGTTATCCAAGCCAACCTAACTCAAGCTGATCTGTGCGCAGTTGTAACAGAAGCTAACATGGTTGAAGAAAACTCAAGGGCATGGTGGTACGATACTGGCACTACCACACACATCTGCATTGATAGAGATATGTTCAACACCTATCAAAAGTGCAAAACTGATGAACATCTGTTGATGGGAAACGTGTCCCACTCCAAGATTGAAGGTACCGAAAATGTGGTGCTGAAGTTGACATCAGGAATGGAGATCACGCTCTCAAACGTGAAGCATGTTCCAGACATGAGGAAGAATCTGATCTCTGGCACGCTGCTGAGCAAGCACGGATTTGCAATCAATTTCGAATCTGACCAGCTGATTCTTAGGAAGAATGGTGTTTTCATTGGAAAAGAATTTGTTAAGGAAGGATTGGTCAAAATGTGTGTAATGACCATCCTCAATAAAAACGATGTACCTGTTTCCAAAAATGATAAGAATACGAAACCAGTTGCTTATTTGGTTGAGTCTTCTAATATTTGGCATGAAAGATTATGACATGTGAATTATAAGTCTGTACAAAGGCTGATGAATTCGAACTTAATCCCCAAATGCAAAATTAGCAAAGACAAGTGTGAAGTTTGTGTACAATCAAAACTCACAAAAACGCCATCTCCTCATGTTGAAATAACAACCGAACCTCTTGGCTTAATCCACACTGATTTGTACGATTTAAAGTATATACAAACAAGGGGTGGCAAGAAGTACTTCGTGACTTTCATTGATGATTGCACAAGATACTGTTACGTCTACTTACTGCGAAGTAAAGACGAACTCTTGGACAAATTCAAAGAGTACAAGCTCGAAGTTGAAAACCAACTGGGAAAAACCATTAAGATGGTTAGAAGTGATAGAGGAGGCGAGTATGATGGACCTTTCAACGCTTTCTGTCAAGAAAAATGCATCATACATCAAACAACCGCTCCCTACTCACCAGAATCTAACGGAGTTGCAGAGAGAAAGAATCGCACTCTGAAAGAGATGATGAATGCAATGTTGCAGGAATCTGGGACACCCCAGAATCTGTGGGGGGAAGGGCTGCTCACCACAAACTACATCCTCAACAAAATTCCACACAAGATTACTGGCAAAACGCCATATGAAATTTGGAAAGGAACTGTACCTTCGTACAAATACCTCAAAGTGTGGGGGTGCTCAGCAAAAGTCGCTGTGCCACCTCCTAAGAAGCTGACAATTGGGCCTAAAACGGTTGATTGCATCTTCATCGGATATGCACACAATAGTAGTGCTTATCGATTCCTAGTACATAAGTCAGATGTACCAGACATCCATGTCAACACGATAATGGAATCTAGAAATGTGTCTTTCTTTGAAAACATCTTTCCATGCAAAGAGAAACAAAGTAAGAAACGCACTCATGATGAAAGAGACACTAGTATCTCTGTAAATGAGGAGAGCAATTCTGGAATTTCAGTTGATGAAGCAGAAGATGAAGAAGATGAACCTAGACGTATCAAGAGAGCACGTAAGGAAAAATCTTTTGGTGATGATTTCTTAATGGTATTTCTCACAGAGAATGAGCCGAGATCATACACAGAAGCCATGTCTACACCTGATGCATCTTTCTGGAAAGAAGCAGTTAATAGTGAAATTTATTCTATAATGCAGAATCATACTTATGAGATCACTGATTTACCTCAAGGTTTCAAAGCACTAGGGTGTAGATGGATATTCAAAACCAAGTTGAAAACTGATGGTTCAATTGAGAAGTACAAGGCCAGACTTGTGGTTCAAGGATTTAGACAAAAAGAAGTTCTAGATTTCTTCGACACCTATTCTCCAGTAAAGAGAATAACTTCAATAAGAATTCTGATAGGAGTTGCAGCCCTAAGAGGACTAGAAATCCATCAGATGGATGTAAAAACGGCCTTTCTAAACGGTGATCTAGAAGAGGAGATTTACATGAAGCAACCCGAAGGATTTGTGGTACCGGGTCAAGAACACAAAGTCTGTAGACTTGTGAAGTCATTGTATGGTCTGAAACAAGCTCCAAAGCAATGTCATGAAAAGTTTGACAATGTAATGATGTCAAATGGTTTCAGCATAAATGAGTGTTATAAGTGCATCTACATCAAAAGTACTCCTCACGGGTATATCTTGCTATGTTTATACGTTGATGACATGCTCATCATGGGAAGTAACAATGATATTATCCAAAAAACCAAGACAATGCTTAGTGGTCAGTTTGACATGAAAGACATGGGTTTTGCGGATGTTATCATTGGCATAAAGATTACACGCACCTCTGAAGGCATCACTCTGTCTCAAGATCATTATGCTGAAAAGATTCTTGAGAGGTTCAAGGCCTACTCAAACAGAACTGCGAAGACTCCCGTGGATTCGCAAGTATACTTGACAAAAAACTCTGGTGAAGCTGTTTCACAAGTGGAATACGCAAGGGTCATTGGCAGTCTTATGTACTTAACCAATTGTACATGACCTGACCTTGCACATGCTGTCAATGTGTTAAGTCGTTACACAAGTAATCCAGGTCATACACACTGGAAAGCCATAACAAGGGTATTAAATTATTTGCGATACACCAAGAGTTATGGGCTGCACTACGGTGAAGAACCAGCGTCTTTGGAAGGATACACTGATGCAAACTGGATATCAGACTCAAAGAATTCGAAATCCACAAATGGATACGTCTTTACTCTAGGAGGTGCAGCAGTATCTTGGAAATCTTCCAAACAAACTCTGTTAGCAAGATCCACAATAGAATCTGAGTTGATAGCGCTAGACAAGACAGAAGAGGAAGCAGAATGCTCTTTAGATGCTTTCTTTGATTTTTTTTTTCAAGATTAGTACATATCCATACATTTAAACTATTTAACAATTTTAAATTTGGCTTATTAAAAGTTAAAAAGATCATAAGAACATAACTATGATTTTTTTTAATAAAAAATAGATTTTCTCATAGACTTTGTTAATGTTTATGAAAAGTTAAAAAATAATAATTTTTGTAAAGGTTTAGAAAATTATGGTTAGTTCTACTTGAAAATGCTTTTATTGAGTTAACTTTATTTGTTTCGTACAATGGTTTTGCTATGCTCAGAGAAGCTGCTATTGAAATTCCGGCGTTGAGTGAAGTTTACTGGCTACACATGTCTGGGAATTTTCACACAAGAAACTTGACTCCGGGGACAAAGTATGAGGTTGTGTTTCTGGTTAGCTTAGAGGATACATCATCAGGATGGGAGCAGCCGGTGAACCTGAGCTTGAAGCTAGTTAATCCGGATGGAACCGAGAGTTTGCAGGAGCGGACAACAAGCTTGGAAGAACACATAGGCGAAAGCTGGGTGGATATTCAAGCCGGAGTTTTGGTGGCACCACCGAGGAACTTAGCCGTGATGATGACTTTCACCATGTATCAATACGTGACAAGTGACCGGAAGAACGGACTCCTGGTCAAAGGTGTTGCAATTCGGCCCATGCAGTAATTAATGCTCATGCAAAGCATGTTAAATCATCTATTTTCCCTATTTATTTCATTCTACAGATACAAATAAAACATGGCCATTTTTTTTTCTTTTTTTGTAACAACTGACAAGAGATTTCGACACGGATGTATCTTGTTTAATGTTTGTACATTTATTAGTTTCTAACTCTGTATAATGCCCGATCAAATTACAAATGAACTAAAAAAACCGCTATATTGGTTTAAAATTTTGTTTTCCTACTTTTTTTTTTTCTGACCGCATATTGGTTTTTTCTTTGTTGTAAGGATCGGTATACACATATTGTTTAAATCATAAAATAGACATGTGAGCTAATCATTAGACTCAATTCGACAAAATTGACCGACTCTTTTTGCCTGTTAAAAATAAAAATTTAAATCGATTATTTATTTTTTTTTTGTAACAAGAAAAATCGATTAATTATTCGGAAGTTGACAAATGGATTAGGTAAAAAATTCAAAGATCGATCCAATTGAGTCTTTTTTTTAAGTCTATGATCGAAACTCATAATAAAATTTTAATCTCTTCAAATAGATTTTATTGATCAACTCAGCCAACCAAAGAAGAAAAAACATCGCGCGCTTTCTATGACCACGATAATTTAGTTTCTGTATAAACCACTTCCATAATACATTTTCCCACAACTCACATCTTAAAATCTCATCATTCATCAACCAAACACAAATCACGCGACACCTTTCAAAGGCGTCCACAATGAAGAAGATGTATTTCATTCAGATGGCAGTGGTGTGTCTGATCATCGCCGTGGTGGCCGTTGACGTTATGAAACGCAGCTCCGTCACTACTGTGGCAGCCGAATTATTTTCACTCGCAGCAGCCATGACTTTAGTGGTTAGAATCTAACATATGGGTTGTCATCTTTTCTTCATATTTACTATATGCTTGTTAATATCATTAAAAATAGTTAACATGAGATTTATTATAAATTTGGACAGATCAAGTTATGGGTCCTAGAGAGACAAAACCACAACGTAGCAACAAAAACGAGACAAAACGATAAGGTCTTCATGATCAATGCAAGGGATCTCTCTATCACATGGTCGGATGACCCTGAATATTGGTCTTGGCTCCGTCTTCCGAACGAGAAACCAAAGTTACAAAAAAGAATATATTTGTTTATCCCCAGACGGACGTATCATGTTTCCAACTGAAAAATCAATTGGTATTAAGCGATTTTACCATGTATTTATATCTTATGTTATATTTCATTTTATGTCATATGTGTGATTTCTAACAGATCTTAGCCATGTTTCTTGTCTATCTGCATCTTCGACTCAAATATGTTAAAGTACGAAGATTTAAAGTGGGAAGATCTTCGTACCAACAGCAAGGCAGGAAAGAGATCATAATCGTATATATGGAGGTTGCATATTATTTATATATCTTGGAGACAAAGAATAAAATTCTTTAGTTAAGGATATCCTATATATGAGAGGGTTCGTATAAGGGTATTTCCTGGTTTATTGAGATACTTCAGAGATCTCATTCTCTTGTATAAATTGTATCGGAGCATCTCGAAAATAATATACAGAAAATTCACCAAAGCTCGTGTTTGCTTTACATGGTATCAGAGCTAGGTTCAGGATCGAACGAAGCAAGCACAATGAGCGGTGAAGAAAGCAAAAACAAAGGCCTAATAATTGAGCAAACAAAGATGGTGGTTCCTACTTTTCAGCTAGCGGCGAACGAAAATCCTGGAGCAGTGATTGTACAGGTGCAGTTCAACGGAGACAACTTTGATGAATGGACTCAAGCGATAAGAACGGCGCTGCGAGTTAAGAAGAAATTTGGATTTGTGGACGGATCCGTGGTGAAGCCAGAAGAATACGCACCAGAGTTTGAAGATTGGGTCTCGGCGAATTCTATGGTGTGTCTCTGGATTCTCAATACCGTAGATCTAAAGATCAGAAGGACGTTGGCAAACAAGGAGAATCCAGTAGATCTGTGGACTGAAATCAAAAATAGATTCTCGGAAGGGAATGGACCAAGAATTCAGGAGATCAAAGCAGAACTCGTGTGGTTAAGGCAAGGGAATATGAGCGTGATTGATTATTTTGGAAAGCTTCACATGTTCTGGGAAGATCTCTCAAACTACGATCCTGTATCGGTTTGCCATTGTGGAAAGTGCACCTGCAACCTAAGTTCAGAGTTTGAGAAAAAGAGGGAGGATGATCGTATTCATCATTTTCTGTTAGGTCTTGATGATACAATCTTTGGAGCAGTAAGAGCCTCCATCATCAGCACGATACCCTGCCTAACATGAATCAAGTTTACGCCAAGGTGAAATCGGTGCAAAGGATCGATACGGTCATGAGAGGAAGAGAAAGTCAGAGCTCGCAAGTGGCATTTGCGGCTCAGACAAAGAATTATGGATCGAATGGCGTTGAAGACAAGATCAAGCTCTTGTGCATGAGCTGTAAGAAGAGTGGTCACACGGCAGAGACGTGTTTCCAGCTGATTGGATACCCATCATGGTGGAGCGATAAACCACACTCAATTGAGCGTGGAGGAAGTCGCGGTAGAGCACGCGGACATGGTGGAATGGTTCAAGCTAACGCTGCAACAACCTTTACTCCGGGTGAGTCAATCGGAGAAGCTGAAAAACATGGATACACTGGTCTCAGCAACGAACAGTGGAAAACTCTGATCAAGCTTCTCGATGACAAGCATGAGCCTGGACCACGCCTAAACGGTAAGCCTTTTCTGTCTGATTGGGTGTTGGATAGTGGAGCTTATAATCATATGACAGGAGATAGAAATATGTTGATTGATCAGAAATATGTGTTACCATGTTCTGTGAGTTTGCCGAATGGAACACAGAGTTTGAGTAGGGAAAAAGGAACAATTGTTTTTGATGAAGAGTTTAGGCTGAAAAACGTATTATTTGTCCCGGATTTAAGATGCAACTTGATTTCAGTATCTCAGCTTATTGCTGATTTGTACGTGGTTATGCAAATTGCTAACAAAGGCTGTGTACTTCAGGACCATACAACGAGGAACCTGAGTGGAGTGGGGGAGCTTAGAGATGGGCTTTATTTCTTCCGTCGCTTACCAAGATTCAATGCTTTCCGTTTGAATAAGGACGAGGCTGAAGATGTGTGGCATCAACGGCTAGGACATCCGTCCAACAGTGTTTTTGATTTACTTCCCGTTATTGGCAATAGAGTTAAGGATTTTTCTACTTGTAGTACTTGCTTCAAGGCAAAACAATGTAGAGACATGTTTCATTTGAGCGATAATAAAAGCGACGGCGTTTTTGAAATGATACAAGTTGATCTATGGGGACCATACCGTATTGCAAGCCTGTGTAATTCTTACTACTTTCTCACAATAGTAGATGATCACTCGAGAGGAGTTTGGGTGTATCTCTTGCGAAATAAGAGACAAGTGGGACAAATAATACGTGAGTTTATGGCAATGGTTCAGCGACAGTTCGACAAAAAGGTTAAGGTCATTCGAAGTGACAACGGGACATAGTTCACTTGTTTAACGAGTGAGTTTCGTGAATTGGGAATTATCCACCAAACCTCTTGTGTTGGGACTCCACAGCAAAATGGCAGAGTAGAGAGAAAGCACCGCCATATTTTAAATGTAGCACGAGCCATCTTGTTTCAGTCGTCCCTTCCTACAAATTTTTGGGGAGAGAGCATTCTGACAGCTGCATATTTGATCAACAGAACACCCTCCAAACTACTGAATGGCAAGACTCCTTTTGAGTTGATTCAGGTGCCATAGTATTCTAATCTGAAAGTCTTTGGCTGCTTGGCGTTTGCTCATAAGCAAAAAAGGATTGGAGATAAGTTCAAATCAAGGAGCAGAAAGTGTGTTTTTGTGGGATACCCCTTTGGAAAGAAGGGGTGGAATCTTTTTGACTTAGAGACAGAGGAGATTTTTGTCTCTCGTGATGTGGTGTTTGTGGAGAATACATTTCCATTTTGTTCTGTAACATGCGAGAATAAGATATTTGATTGGACAGAAATGGGAGAATTTGAGCAAGCAACAATTGATGAACCTCAAGTTGAACAGGTTTTGGTAGAAACCGTGAACACTGAAGAAATCTCTGTTTCTCAACCTGCAATTATATTGACTACTATGCCTGTAACTATTAAAGAAATACCTGCAGTGGATCCATCTGAGACGAATCTGCAGGATATCTCAACTGAATCAAGTGCAGCAGAAATGTCAGCTGAGATTCCTGCTGAAATCACGACTGATACAGAGATGCATCCGCCTGCAGTTATGGTTGGACGTGGGCATAGGGAGAAGCAAGTCTCGATGAGATTGAAAGGTTTCATGCTAAACACGGTTTCTGTTTCTGACCCAGCGAATCCTCTTGAAGTAACGGTGGAATTCAAGGATGATGTTGCTGCAACATATCCATTGTCTCATTATCTGGATAGCAGTAAGTTCTCACATAGTCATAGAGCTTTCTTGGCCGCGATAACTGCTGAGACAGAACCAACTCTGTTTCGAGATGCAGTCGTTTATGAAGTGTGGAGAGGGGCGATGAAAGTCGAAATTACTGCATTAGAAGAGAATCAAACTTGGTGAAGCTACCAGCTGGAAAAAGAGCAATCGGATGTAAATGGGTTTACAAAATCAAATACCGCTCTGATGGCTTGATTGAAAGATATAAGGCACGTCTTGTGGTGTTGGGTAATAGACAGAAAGAAGGTGTCGATTACAAAGAAACATTCGCCCCGGTTATTAAGATGACAACGGTGCGAATCTTCTTGGGAGTTGCTGCTGCGAAAAAGTGGGAGCTCCATCAGATGGATGTGCACAATGCATTCTTGCATGGTGATTTGGAGGAAGAAGTATACATGCAGCCTCCTTCTGGCTTTAAATTCGATGATCCAACAATGGTATGTCGCTTACGGAAGTCTCTATATGGCCTTAAACAAGCACCAAGGTGCTGGTTCACAAAGCTGCGAGATGCCCTCAAGAGATATGGATTCACTTCAGTCGTACTCGGATTGTTCTCTTTTCTCAAAAACGAGAGGCTCATCCGAGATGTATGTTCTGGTGTATGTTGATGATCTGATTATTGGGGGCAATGATTCTGGTGCAATTGCGGAGTTTAAAGCATATTTAAGTACATGTTTTCATATGAAAGACTTGGGGGTTTTGAAGTACTTTCTTGGCATTGAAGTGGCACGTAATCCTGAAGGGATATTCCTTTGTCAGAGAAAGTACACACTTGACATTATAGGAGAAGCTGGTTTGATGGGAGCTAAACCTGCAACTTTTCCTATGGAACAACAACATAAGTTGGTATTGGCAGAAGGTCCATTGCTTGGTGATCCGGAAAAGTATCGAAGAATGATGGGAAGGCTGATATATCTTGCAGCCACAAGACCTGATTTGACGTATCCCGTACACGTTTTATCACAGTTTATAAAGTCGCCACAGACTGATCACTAGGAAGCAGCTCGTGTTGTACGGTACTTAAAAGGAACGCCTGGACAAGGCATTATCTTACGATCGAGTTGTGATTTGAAGATACATGGATGGTGTGACTCGGATTGGGCAGGATGTTCGCTGACAAGACGATCTTTGAATGGTTGGTTTGTAACTCTCGGAGTATCACCTGTTTCCTGGAAAACTAAGAAGCAAGATGTAGTCTCGCATTCCTCGGCGGAAGCAGAGTATCGATGTATGTCGAAGACATTACGAGAGCTGAAATGGTTGAAACGTGTACTCGAAGACTTAGGAGTTCGTCATGAGACCCCTATGGATCTGCATTGTGACAGTCATGCAGCTTTGCACATAGCTGCAAATCTAGTGTTCCATGAACGAACCAAATACATTGAAGCTGAATGTCATAGTGTTCGAGATGCAATCCTTGATGGTCTTATTGTTACACGAAAGGTACGGACAAGTGAACAACTTGCAGACGTGTTTAATAAGGCTCTTGGTCGACGGGAATTTGAGTACATTATGTCCAAATTGGGAACGTGTAATCTACACGCTCCAACTTGAGGGGGTGTTAAAGTGGGAAGATCTTCGTACCAACAGCAAGGCGGGAAGGAGATCATAATCATTTATATGGAGGTTGCCTATTATTTATATATCTTGGGGACAAAGAATAAAATTCTTTAGTTAAGGATATCGTATATATGAGAGGGTTCGTATAAGGGTATTTCCTGATTTATTGAGATACTTCAGAGATCTCATTCTCTTGTATAAAATGTATCGGAGCATCTCAGAAATAATATACAGAAAATTCACCAAGCTCGTATTTGCTTTACAAAATATATAATGCTTCGACAGGGCCGGCCCATAGGCTAAGCTACCAAAGCCAAGGATTAGGGCAGCTAAATTTTAAGGGCATCATTTAAAATTTTTTTCCTTATTAGGATTAGTTACTTAGAGATATTTTCTTTGAATATTTTCCTTATTTGGATTAGTTCTCTATTAATGTGATAATATATAATTTAATTTATTTTATAATAGTAATATTTATAAAGTTTTTGTTAGCAATTTTATGATCTTTTTTATTAACAAACATGCTAATTAAGTTTTGTTGTTTTTATTAACTAAATTCTGAAAATGGAGAATTGTTATACAAACACCAAGTAAAATATCAAGTATCAATATCAGAAAAAATTTCAAAAGCCTATTGAAGTCCTTGATTTTATGAAAAAATGGAGGATTGTTATACAAACACTAAAATTGGTTGTTGTATTTTGTTGATTATTTTGGTATCAGTTACCATGACTGAAAGAAGTTTTTTTAAAATTTGAAAAACTTGATTAAAAATTATATGTGGTGTACGATAACAATAAAAAGATTGAATAGGTTGGCTTTGTTATTGATTGAGATAACTATGGTTGAAAAACTAGATTATGTGAGTTTAATAAATGATTTTGTAAGCAAAATGCAAAGAGTAGTAATTTTTTAAAATAATTATATTTTACTGTTTTTATTTTTTGTAAATTATTTATGAACTGAGATCGTTTGTTTGGAATTAATTTTTTTATAAAATTTTAACTATAGTTTATTTTTTAGTTTTTATGATATCAAATATAATATATAAAAATGCATATTTTTAAAATTCTAATAGGGCATCCAGAACTATCGAACCGGCACTGTGCTTCGAGTAAGCGAGCTTGTCTAATTGTAATAGAACATTTTTCTGACATTTATATTGGTAATTTTATGCAGCGAGGCAGTTGTTGAAGCCGCCGTGTTGAATAGTGTTTGCTGGTTAGATGTGTCGGGAAAATTCGACACAAAAAGCCTACGTTTGGGGTCAACGTATGAGGTGGTTTTCATGGTGAAGTGAGAAGCTGAAGCTTACGGTTGGGACTGGGAGCCGGTTAAGCTAAAGCTGGCCATGCCAAATGGTAGCGAGACACCGCAAGAGCATAGTGTGTGAGTTTTGTGGAATACATTGGGAAGCAATGGATAGATATTTCGGCGGGTGAGTTCATGACGTACGAGCATGATTCCAATATGTGGAAGTCAGGGCTTATAGTTAAGGGCGTTATAATTCGTTCTAAACACCATGTCTAAGGCATTTTGTATGAGTTGAATTGTTTACTCGCTGATGTATGAAAAAGTGTACTTAGATATTTATTTTTATTGGTTATATGAATGGTATACGTACAGTGTTATGTTTTCAAGTTTTACTATTGTGATTTTATTATTTTTACTACTCAGAATATTATCCATCAATTTTTATAGTTTCACGTTTTTACAACTGAGCACAATTGCGGTTAAATATATTATTTTGAAATATAAAAATCAAATAATTAAAGAGTGATATCGTATAAGTGATGCATGCAGTGGCGGATTGCGTTCGAGAGTTCAATTCTTCAGTTAATAACTTAATATAAACAAGTCCACTTATCTTTTGATATTTTTAAAAATTCTTCGCAGTTGCAATTTTTAATTCAACACTTGGAATTTATTTTAATCTAATGAAAGGCTTAATTTATGAATTTGGGAGGTCTTCGATAGAATTGGATTATAAATTAAGGGCAGCGTTTAGGTGATCAACAGCAACCCTAATAGAGATACTATTAATGAAGATCTTATTGATTAATTATTGTTTTTAAGCATACAAGATATTTTTGATAGATGTCTTAATATATATATATATATATAAACTTTTTTTAAAAATAAATTTAAGTAAAATTTATGTTAACAACTATATAATACATTAAAAAGTGTAATACATAAAAATGTATAAATTATAGAAATACAATTTAAAAAATGGAAAACCCGCTTAATTGTAATCTTAAATTTAAAGTGAGTAAAAACACAAATAATTCAAACTAAAATTGAAAGGCAGTGGCATGAACTTATCAAATACCAATCTCAATAACTAAAACAATATTACAAAACTCTAAACAAAAAAGGATAAGGCAAACTCACTTTTATTTTTAAAGTAATGTGACATGTTTTGCCTTTGATATGAACCTTGCTCTTCTGTGCTCTTACACGAGCCTTGCAACAGCAAAAAACTGTATGTTAGTGAAGACACATGAAGAATCTCCTTTTGACTTCAACTTGAAATTGAACAATCGTGAAATTGATCGGTCCTCTCATCTATTTTTGCCTAAGAGAAATAGAGATGAAAAAAATAAATGGCATAACTATCACTAGGCAACTAGCTCGGTTTTCATGACAAAGATGATGAAAACTCGGTTTTGATGAAGAATACTCAGTTTACGCATGTAGTAGATAGAAGTCATTATTGAGTCTAATTGATATATCTGTTTCCCAACTACAAACGTTAGAAAATTAGTCTAGGTTTCAACCAAAAATTTCAGTCATCCAAGAAAATAACGATAGAGTTAAAAGACCAATTCAATTTTGCAAGGCAAGTTGTTTATCTGAATTAATAAACTACATGTTGACAACATACATATTAATTTTGTTTCTAGCATTCAAGTATATTAGAACGTTGGATTAGCTTTATCTATTAAATCATCTTGACAAACACACAAAAGGTCAAACAAACAAAACTTTTTTTTTCGCTTTTCACCAAAAAAAAAAAAGAAGGCTCTTACATGGCTGCTTCTTCATCGGTTGCAACCCTAACGGGGCCTCAAGTGTTCATAAGCTTCCGGGGAGAAGATGTACGCAAGAACTTCATAAGCTTTCTTGACCCTGCTTTGAGAAAAGCGAATATAAATGTCTTCATAGACGAGGATATGTTATTGGGCGCAGACCTAGCTCAGCTGTTGACGATGATAGAAGAGTCCGAGATCGCAGTGGTGATCTTCTCAAAGAATTACGCCGATTCACGTCGGTGCTTGGATGAGCTGGCCAAGATGAAGGAACGTAAGGATCAAGGTCGTCTCACAGTGATTCCCATCTTCTACAAAGTGGATGCTTCCGTTGTGAAAGAACTTAGAGGAACATTCGGCGACAAGTTTAGGGATCTGAAGCGCAAACATCGACACCAGCCAGAAAGAACTCAGAAATGGGAGGAAGCTTTAGAGTATATTCCTGAAATAAAAGGCATGCCCCGAGCAGAACAAAGGTTATTATAATCTCTGTTCTTTCTTTCTTAAATAAGTTATAACTGAAAATTACAATCAGAAATCTAGAATAATAATCCCCCTATGCCCTATTTAAATAAGTCAGCAGCAGCCAAATATATATTTACATCTGTAGAATCTTATATATGTATAATCACATAATAACTGTATAGTACGGAATAGCCACCGAATAATTACGAAGTTATAACCAAACAAAAAAAATCTTAGCTTTTTCTGTGGTTATACCTTTATGACTAATTTTTTTCGTGATTACATTGGCTTTTATATAGTTTTTTTCATGGCTTTTCGGTGGCTATATACGTAATGTTTTACTAATTATATTATTGTTATGTCTTAAGTATGTTGCAAGTTGAAATTCTGATTTCAGTCAGAACAGCATAACAGTTCTTGTTAATATCTCTTACTTTGTATTGTATGACAGTGACACGACTGATTATGAATTCATCAACTCAATGGTCCTCGGGATTCAGAGACTCCTGGATCATATGGCCGTGAGAGGAAACCCAGCGAATCGTCAAGGAGGTTCCATGGTCCCTGCAAGGCCACTAGAAAGAGAAGTTAATCGTCAAGGAAGTTCTATGAAAATCATTTCTGCCTCCTCCGTTTATACCATGGTTCCTGCAAGACAACTAGTAATCACTCATTCCGAGAATAGTCAAAAATGGGCTTGGAGTTTTATCAACGAAGCGCCAAAGTAATAATTTTCTTCAAAACTTTTAACATTTTTAAATGGATTATAGAATCTCTCGATTGACAACTTTTTTCTCAAACGAAAACTTAATAAAAAAAAAAATCAGTTTATGAAAGCTAACATTTATTTCTTCCAAGATTTACAATTTTTTTTTTTTTTCGGTTTGTATCATCTTTACTGAAAGCTAATACTATTTATTCATTTCATAAGAATTAGTTTTTCTATTACAATATTTATTCAGAAACAAAACTATATATATATATATATATATATATATATATATTTTTTTTTTTAATTTGGTGGTCCTTTCTATTGTTCTTCAATGATTGATTTAGTTATGTTTTCAGCTATACGACCCTTGAAGTTGCGACGATGATTAAAATTCACTGGCTAAAAATATTCGGGAAAATTGAGACGAGGAATCTAACACCAGGAACAGAGTATGAGGCGGTCTTTCTAGTGAAGCTAGAAGATAATTCTATTGGATGGGAGCAACCAGTGACTCTGAAGCTAAAAGTTGAAGAACACGATGGTAACGACTATCGGGTGGATCGGAATGAGAATTTGAAGGATTACGTAGGCCACAACTGGGTGGATATTCTAGCCGGAGTTTTCGTGGTGCCGCCGAGTAACACACCGGCAAAGATCACTTTCACCATGTTCCAGTACGTGACCGATGATCGGAAAAGGGGTCTCGTTGTCAAAGGTGTAGCAATTCGTCCCACGACCTAATGCGGACATGCAAAGCATACTGGATTTTTCTATTTTTCTAATATTTTTATCTGATCATCAAATTTAATTAAATGCATATGTCTTTGATCTGGTAAAAAGTGTATACATACATTGTATTAGAAACTCATAATTAATGTATCCATATAAAAATTTACTCATGTGATTGGGAGATGATTAGTAGTAGTACTCTCTCAAAGTAGTACAACTACAACCCATATTATTTTAAACAATATAATAGAAATTTTAAAGAAATCAAAGTAGTACAGCTACAACCAATATGTTAACAAAACATAGTAAATTATTTAGTCATTTTCTCTTATATATTATATCATGTGAGGTTTCTAATACATACACACACTGACACATATATATATATATGCATGTTGATCAACGTCATGAATTGATTCTTATTTGATATATGTAACAGTAAACCAACCACATACGTTACAAAATTAGTTATCAAAGATAATACTCGCTTTGAACGGAGGATAGTGATAGAGTTAAAAGACATATTCAAACTTCGAAGACAAGCTGTTGTCTGTATTAGTAAACTAAATGTTGACAACTTACACATTATCATCACTCCTAGGTTTCAAGTATATAAAGGGTGTTGGATTAGCTTTATTGTTCAAAGCAGCTTGACAAAAGACAAAATCATCAAAAACTCTCTTTTCCCCTAAACAAAAAAATTCTCTCATGGCTTCTTCTTCTTCTTCTTCTGTTGTGAAGGGGCCTCAAGTGTTCATCAACTTTCGGGGAGCTGAGCTGCGCAACAGCTTCGTGGCATTTCTCGAGCCTATCTTGAGAGATGCGAATATAAACGTCTTCATAGACAAGGACGAAGTGGTGGGCGCATACCTAGCTAACCTTTTGGTGAGGATCGAAGAGTCAAGGATCGCTGTGGTGATCTTCTCTAAGGATTACACAAGCTCGGCCTGGTGCTTGGATGAGCTGGCCATGATCAAGGAGTGCATGGAACAAGGCAGTCTCAGTGTGATTCCCATCTTCTACAAACTTGCACCTTCCGATGTAAAAGAACTTAGAGGAAACTTTGGTGATACTTTCCGGGCTCGGAAGCGCGATAATAAACACGAGCCAGAAAGGACTAAAAAATGGGAGGAAGCCTTAGTGTCTATTCCAGAAATAAAAGGCCTGGCCTTATCAGAAAAAAAGGTTCGAATTTTTCCTTTTTCTCCTTTAATTCCTTATCAGAAATAAAAGGCCTGGCCTTTCCACACTGAATTATATACTAATGTTGGTATGTCCTCAAGTATATACATCTTGAATCTCATGTGCTTGGCTTGTCCATAGTCCATAATATGTTTGAAATTTGAGTTCATTTAAAAATAGGGTAGCCAGGCTGTTTCTTGTTGAACAAGGAACCACGTAAATAGGATGAACAAGGTTGCTGACTTCTCTCACTCGTATTGTATGACAGTGACAGGAACGAAAGGGAGTTCATAAACTCAATTGTTTTCGAGATTCAGAGATTGATGTCGCAGATCGCCGTGAGGAGAAACCCAAAAGTAGAATCGAATGGCCAAGGAGGATTTTTGGTCCCTGCAAAAAGACTTGAGATTACTCACTTTGATAATCCTGAAAAATGGTCCTGGAGTTCTATCTACGACAAACCATAGTAAGAATCATATTTTAGTGAAAAAGAATCAAAAGATCTTTTTATGGAACTTGGAGGGGAAATCTATAAATCAATTATTAGAGGGTTGAATTATTTATCAAAACTAACATTTGAGCATCTATAGTATTTTAATATATCCATTACTATTTGAATTAATAAATTTATAATTAGATTAATGAACAAAATATACGGTAGCATATCTTTAATACATTTATGAAATTTTCTTTTAAAATTTTCAATTAATTAAAATAATGAATAAAAGAAATTTTCCTTTTAAGAATATTAGAACTTCAACATTAAAAATATGATGTGTAATCATTTGATTGCTTTCAATTAAATCGTTTGTTTTCATATTGAAATGTTAGTCATATTTTTTCAGCGGAGCAGACATTGAAATTGCAACGATGATTAACATTCACACATTAATTCAAATAAACGGAGATTTTCACACGAGAAAATTGACACCAGGGAGAAAGTACGAGGTGGTGTTTCTTTTGAGCCTAGATGATAGCGCTTTGGGATGGAAGAAGGACGTAACCCTAACCCTGAAGGTGGTCATGAGCGGTACAACTATAACTAGAAGCGAGGATGAGTGCCAAAAGGCATTGTGCTTAGATGAGTACATAGGAGAAGACTGGGTGGAGATTCCTGTCGGAAATTTTGAGGCGCCGCCGACGAAACACAACGCAAAGATCTTTTTCTCGATGCGTCAGTATGTGGACTCTGACCCGAAGAGTGGGCTCGTGGTCAAAGGTGTTGCAGTTCGTCCCGTGGAGTGATTAATGCACAAAAGCAGAAGCATATTGGATCTATCTACATTTATGTTTCATTCCAAATAAAATAAAACGCATGTCTATTTCTGGTTTAAAGTTGTACTCTATTATTGTGTTTGTAACAGAAAGTATTTTTTTTTTTTAATTGGGTCAAAATGTTAAGTTGTAACTTGTAAGTGTAACACAAAGTTTGTTTCTTTTCATACTGTAGTGTCTCAAATATTTATAAATTTTTGTTTATTGATTTTTTCGGCCTCTCTGGATAACTTTCCTAAAAAAATATGAACCCGTGAAAATCATATAAACATTATGATTTAATTAGTATGAAAACTTAATAGCTGAATAGTATAATAGCTGAATAATAAACTAGCGGAATCAATAAAATAGGTAAACTGAAAACTGAATAAACACAAAACGCTAAAAAACTAATATCTATTAGATAAATATATTTTTCTCAAAATTAGTTATAAATTTAAAACATACAGGATAAATTGAAAGCTAACGTGTTACTTTTCACTTTTATCATTTAATATTTAATATTGTGAATGATATGCATTTGATGTAATTATGTTTTTAAATAGTGAAAACGTGAAAACATATCATTCAATCCCTATTTTAAATGCTTTTCAACGCTCAAGTTATTGACAAATGAAAGAAGCGACCACATAACGACGTTGAATACCAAGAAAGAGCCGACGTCGGAAAACAAAAGTGATCGGAGAAAAATCGTTAAGGTCAACTCCCAGAAATGAGAGACTTGAACTGTTTAAAGGGCTTAGTATTATGCTAGTGACTTCAAGAATGAAGAGGAGGTCTTATTTTTAGAGGTTTCTAATACATGTATATGTTGAAACTAAAGCAGTACATTACAATTTGTGGTCACGTATCGACACAAGATCACGTAATGTTTTGGTTTTAAACTGCATGCATGCATAACTAATAACTTGTAGTCTAGTATACATCTTTTTCGACTAGCTAGCGAGTACCAGGACAAGTCATGATATATGCTGGTGTGGTGTACTAAGTTTAAGTTGGCCCGAGTTTTGTGTGGGTTTATAACAAATAAATTAGATTGGTAACTACTCGAAGATGATAAATTTTGGATGAATCCACTTCCGGCGCTGGTGTTACTTATTTCTGCATCTATAGGAAGTTGTTATTGTGTTAATTGAGGGACTAACAAATAACTTGAAGTTAATCTTAATTTTAGTTCGTTGGTCCTTAAAATTAAGATTGTCTAATGTCTTTAACCTTTTTTTAGAATGATAATAAAATATTGAATTACCATAAATCTTTAATAAAGTGGTTAAAACATATTGTTTATAAAAGAAAACTGTATTAATAAAAAAGAATCAAATCGTTTGTGATGCATGCAATGACATATTCCATGATCTGATTGTGGCCTCACCGCGTTCGAGAATGAAATCAAGTTCTGAACAAGTCAAATTATCTTTTTCGTTTTTAATTTTATCAAACATCTTCGCAGTTCCAATTTTTAATCACACACTTGGATTATAGGATAAACTTATGGAAAGACTTTATGAATTGGGGAAGTCTTTGGCGCTTGGTCTATAATGTATTATGAAGGATATGGGCCGGATGTACAAGCAAGTGCAACTAATATATCAAACATACACCATGTAGTAAAACTCGGTTGTTTAACCAAATAATACTATTAGTTTATACTGTATATGCTTATTGATCGACGTCATAGATTGATTCGCATTCAACCACCTACATTTGTTATAAAATTAGTCATCCTATAAAATTCTCGGTTTTGGCCGGAGGATAGCGATAGAGGGTTAAAAGACAAAGTCAAATTTCGAAGACATGATGTTATTTGTTTTAGTAAACTACATGTTGACAACTTACACATTAACATTATTCCGAGAATTCAAGTCTATAAGGAACTTGGATTACATTAATCGTTCAAAAGTAACTTGACAAAACACAAAAGGCGAAACAACAATCAACCAAAATTCTCTTTTTGCCTAATAAAAAAAGCTCTATCATGGCTGCTTCTTCAAAGGGGCCTCAAGTGTTCATCAACTTCCGGGGACCAAATGTGCGCAACAGATTTGTGGTCTTTCTCGAGCCTATCTTGAGAGCTGCGAATATAAACTTATTCGTAGACAAGGACGACGTGCTGAGCACAGATCCGGCTAACCTTATGGCGAGGATCGGAGAGTCAAGGGTCGCGGTAGTGATCTTCTCGAAGGCTTACACAAGTTCGGACTGGTGCTTGGACGAGCTGGCCATGATCAAGGAGTGCATGGATCGAGGCAGTCTCAGAGTGATTCCTATCTTCTACAAACATACTACACCCTCCGTGGTGGAAGAACTTCGAGGGAAGTTTGGTGACAGTTTTAGGGTTCTAAAGCGCAAATACCTACACGAGCCAGAAAGGACTCGGAAATGGGAGGAGGCTTTAGAGTCTATTTCTAAAGTAAAAGGCATGTCCTTAGCAAAAGAAAGGTTCGATTTTAATCTTCTGCTCCTTTATCTTCTTTGTAGTAAATAATTACATACTGAAATATCAAATATGTACTAATCTTCGTATGTCGTCAAGAAGATACATGATAAATCTAGAACCTCATGTTCTTGGTATGTCCATAGTTATAGTTGCAGTTTCGAAATTTGTGTTCACTTAGAATAGGGTAGCTGTTTCTTGTATATCACGGAAACAAGTAAATGGAATGAACAAGCTTCGTGACATATCTCACACGTATTGTATGAGAGTGACAGGAACGAAAGAGAGTTCATAGACTCGATGGTTATCGAGATTCAGATATTGCTGTCGCAAATCGCCTTGAAGGGAAATCCAAAAATAGAATCGAGTCACCAAGGAGGGTTTTTGGTCCCTGCAAGGAGACTTGAGATTACTCACTCTGGGAATCCTGAAAAATGGGCCTGGAGTTCTATCTACGACGAACCATAGTAAGAATTGTTTTCGTGAAAGAAAAAGAATATTTGGGTTACTATATTTTTTTGAACTATTTAATAAAAATAAGATAAAAGGATTAAATTATTTTCAAAACTAAAATTTATTAACACAACATTAAGTCTATTAAATCTCATATATAGCATTATTTTGGATTATGAATATAAATATTCAAAACGAACCTTAGTAAGAAATCTAAAGAGAGAAACAGTTTTTTTTAATACTTATATTTGTTTATTTGAAATTACATAATCGCAAAATTTTCATCATAATCCAAAACAAATGTTATACATGAGACTTCTTAGATTTGATGTTGTGTTTGTTATAAAACTCTATTTGATGATATTTTAGGATATTCTTCATAACATAAAATATTGTAGAATTATAAATAAAATAAATGATTCTTGAAAAAATATAACGTACTTACAAGAAATTCCGTATAAATATATTGAAAAAATCAACCTAAAAATATGATGTGTAATCATTTGATTTCATTTCAATCAGATTTTTCTTGTATTGACATTTTAATCATGTTTTTTCAGCAGAGCAGACATTGAAATTGCGACAATGATTAACGTTCACACCTTGGTTAATATAAACGGAGATTTTCACACGATGAATTTGACATCGGGGACAACGTACGAGGTGGTGTTTCTTGTGAGCCTAGCTGATTCAGCTTTGGGATGGAAGAACCCGGTGACCTTAATGCTAAAGCTGGTCAGCGATGGAAGCGAGAAGAAGGAGCACGATAAGGCATCGTGCTTGAACGACTACATAGGAGACGATTGGGTGGAGATTCCTGTCGGAGAATTTAAGGCGCCGCCGAAGAAAGACGACGCAAAGATCTTTTTCTCGATGCATCAGTATGTGGACTCTGACCCTAAGAGTGGGCTTGTGGTCAAAGGTGTTGCAGTTCGTCCCGTGGAGTAATGCACAAGAGAGCAAAAGCATATTGGATCTATCAACATTTATGTTTCATTCCAAATAAAATAAAATGCATGTCTATTTCTGGTTTAAAGTTTGTACTCTGTTATTGTTTTTTGTAAGACAAAGTTTTTTTTTGTTGTTTATTGGGTCAAAATATTAAGTTGTAAGTATAACACAAAGTTTGTTTCTTTTATCATACTGTAATGTCTCAAATATTTATGAATTTTTGTTTAGTGGTTTTATTGGCCTCTGTGGATAAGTTTCCTGAAAAAAACGAACCCGTGAAAATCATGAAAACAGTCTATTCTTAATGCTTTTGGTCAAAGGTGTTGCAATTCGTCCGGTGCAGTAATGCACATATATAAGCAAAGCATATTGGATATAATTAATTATCGGTTTACCTATACGTACATTTATATTTCAGTCCAAATCAAATAATCTGAATGTCTATTTCTGGTTAAAAGTTTGTACTCTGTAATTGGTTTTTGTAACACGAAGTTTGTGCTTTCTTGTATTTGTACTGTATAATATTTTCAATACTAAGAAGTGTTTATTTAGTTTATTGAAACATTTATATAAATTTTCATGGTATAGCTTGGCTGTGAGAGACTCATCATTCTCACAAGTCACAATCTTATAAATAACTTCTGTATGGACATTTTGACGTAGCGAAAGTCTTATACATCTTGAACTAAATTGTGATACTTTTTTTGTATCTACGTTTAGTATTTTGATTACAAAAAAAACAAAAAAAAAAAACTGACACACAAAACTGGCTCATATATGTATTACTAGCTCAATATTTAAGTTTTTTTTATAGTGTTTAAGCATAATTGAAAATCATAAAGAATTCAAGATTTATACTATGTATGTACACCCTCCATCTTTTAAAATTTAGATGTTTTAGGATTTTTTTTGTTTGAATACTCCGGCGTAGGCATGCAGTCGTTACTAATTCCATGATATCACTCTCCCCACAAGAAGTTATTGAAATTCGAGTTTCTCACTAAACTTCATCCCAAAATAAGCAATGTTTCCATGTCTTTCATATATTATTTTAGATTTCAAATATGTGATTTCTAACCGATCCTAGATATATTTTCTGTCTATTTGCATTTTGGAGTCATATAATGTTTCGATTAAGCGATTTTGTCTAATTATGAATTTATAGACCATTCTTCTAACATATAAAATGGTGATTTATGCAGCGGCCGTGTTGAATAATGTTTGCTGTTCAGATGTGTCGACAAAGTACGAGGTGGTTTTTTTGTGTGGTTAAGCTGAAACTGGCCATGCCTAGTGGTAGGCTGGTAGCGAGACACAGTAAGAGCATAATGTGAGTTTTTGTGGAATACATTGGGAAGCAAAGTATAGATATTCCGGCGGGTGAGTTCATGATGTCGAAGGACAACGTCGTAGAGATCAGTTTCTCATTGTACGAGCATGATTCCAATATGTGGAAGTCAGGGCTTATAGTCAAGGCCTTGTGATGAACGGTATACCATTTCACGTTTTCATGGTTTGATATCATTATTCTGCTATTTTAATCACTAAGACTATTATTCATCAAGTTAGTATATTTTCATATTTCGGTAAAATAGTTTTGCTATACTATAGAGACGTGTCAAATATATAATTAGAAACATCATTAATTTTTTCAAATAATATTTTATGTTTTAATGACTATTTATTAAATATTATATTCAACTAAAGTATTTACGTTATAATCAGCATATTCACTGATTATTTGAGAAGAGAAACAAAAAAAAACAAATTACTTGCAGATTTGTAATTTAATTTGTTTTTTTTTTTGGCAGTTGTGTGTGCGCATATACGAACCCCAAAATCTATTTCAACTAATAACCTTTGAAAAGTCTTAGCTCGTGTCTATCTCATATGCACTGTGCAAAGAAAAAGAGAATAAGTCAAGAAGAATAGGTCAAAGGTTTTTTTCGCTACGGTAAGGAAAAAAACTCAATGACTTGTTAGAGCACCTCGATCTCACTAAATACCTGATTCTAAATAATAATAATATAATAAAAAGAGGAAAGAGAAAGTGAGATACGTTTCTCATTTGAGAATTTTCATAGCATAAGTATTGCAGAACTGAGAGAAGAGATTCTTTAATTTTTTTTATTATTAAAAAAATTGATTTTTTATTAAAAAAACGATTTAAAAGAAATAAAAAGTTAATCAATTGTGTGTCGCCACGAGAAACGCCTCTACAGGCCCTCTGCAGAGAGGCGACTCTCCTCTGCAATCTTGTCATGTCATTTTTTTTTTTCTTTTTTCTCTAGAGCTTCTTACAGGCTATCCAATATTCATGCTCTCAGATACCTAAGAGTAGGTCATCGGTTAAATATCCAAAATGATATCTAAACAATTATTATATTAATATTAAAAAAATGAACCAGTCACATAGAAATAAAGAGTGAGATAAGTATCTCAAAGTATGTTAAATGAGAAGTGGGTTTCATTTTTTCTCTCCTTTTTTTAATATTTTATTATTTTCAGAAACTGAGATATCCTTCTTCATACCTTCATTGAAGATGCTCTAAGATATTTTCTTAATTATGTACATTCTTATGAATAGTTAAATCTATTATATATCATAAATATTAATTAAAAAAATAAAATAATACAAAAATTATTAATATAATATTGAATGAGATATCCAAAAAAATATGTGACGACTGGAGTTGCTCTTATTTTCTTCCAATGCTAATATGTACAAAAATCGAAGTAGCTAATCGGAAGAAGTTTTGGATTCTTAAAGTTACACGTGGATCCATCATCTATACAGCATGAAGTTTTTTACAATATTATAAGTCTGTATAATAACAAAAGAACCATTACAACTTAGACCATCTCCATCGGTCGTATCTAATTTAGATACGATAGTGTTTTCATAATTAAAAACATATAAAATAATGAGAAGGAAAGAGAGAAATAGAAAGACGTCGCTTATTTAAGTGATGCAAGAAACGGTATATAACCAAATGTCATCATCTAATTAGTTTATTTTTGTTTATTAATAAAATATGTTTAAAAGACGCTATATTAGAGACGAACCGATAAAAATGCTCTTAGTATACAAAAAATCTTATAAATTAATATTCGATAAATTAATAAATTTGATAAATTAATAATTTTATTTAGTTTTAAATTAGATCAATTCAAAATTTAATATAAATCGATAAATTTATAAATAATATTTTTTTGAAAAATTATGTAAATATAGTTTAATTAATATTATAAATTAATAAATATTATATAAAATAAATTTATATAAATATATAATTATGATAATCTATTAAAATATGAATATATTAAAATTAAAATATTTTTATTTTTATCTCTAATTTTATAATAAAATTTTTAAAAAATATTATAAATTTTAAAGAAAATATAATTTTTAATTAATTATTAATAAACAAATTATTTTATTTAAAACCGATAAATTAATAACTCTAAAAATTAATGAAATATTAAAGTTTCAACATTATTAATTTATAGAGTTTATACTGTACATAAACAATATCTAAAACATATAGCCAAAATAAATGCTAAATGATATTACGAGACAATTATTTCAGATCATTCAGTTAATTTTTAGTGTTTTGCTGAGTCTTGTAAATTGGTGGTTTGATACTAGTGTCTCAGGGTCCATATGTAAACTTGAGGTCATGCATGCGTGTGTGTGAATTCACGAAAAAAAGAAGAAGAACTTAAGTTGTGCGCCAAGCAAAAATAATTCTTACGTATTGGATGCAATAACTACAAAATTGTTGACTGACGACTAAATACGTATTGTACACTATACACCGCCCAACAAAGTGAGAAAGAGAGTAGAAGAACGGTACGTTTGGTTTCAAGTGTTTATGAGGTAAAGAGTCTAGTTTCAACATAAATTTTAATGTAGGCCACACCCACAAAATGATAAATCGTTCAAGTTTCGTTGACTTTTGTGTTGATTATTAGACATCATGTTTACGTACGTAACTACGTATCCTTGACCAGAGGGGAGTACGGCGTCATGGGACACAGCAAAAATATTTATAAACAATTTTTTTAGTTGAAATTATGGTGGTTTAAATATAAATAAAATGGTAAAATTCATATGTTGACACCGTAAGATAAGACCAATTCTCGTTATGACCCTAATCAATCAATTTTTTTTTTTTAACTTCTGTTTAATAAAATTAAATTATTGTAATATGACCTTGACCGATGCTAGAAAACTCCAGACCAAACACGTACTCCAATAAATCACTATAAATCATCAAACCTCCGAAGATTTATTTTCATATGGAAAATGCAAAAGAGAGAAATCAATAAGAAATATCATTAAACATGAGTTTGTTGAGTGTTCATCATCTTCTATCTAATTTCTTTCTTCTTCTTATGTTTTCAGTTTCAACATTTCCGATTGTTGGGTCAGCTTCTTTTTCTATAGATACGGACAGAGAAGCTTTGCTCTCGTTCAGGTCCCAAATTAGCCAAAACCCACAATCCCTTTCTTTCTCTTGGGAACAAAACACAACTCCTTGTAACTGGACCGGCGTGTCTTGCAACACACGTAACAGAAGAGTGGCTTCCATCAACCTCTCTGGTCGTGGTCTCACTGGTTCCATAAGCCCAAGTATTGGTAATCTCTCCTTCCTCACATCTCTTCAACTTCAAAATAACCAACTTAGAGGTCCAATTCCAAAAGAGATCACAAATCTTTTTCGTCTAAGGGTTCTTAATTTAAGCTCCAACAGCTTAGAAGGATCCTTACCTTCCAACCTAAGCAAGTTATTCGAGCTACAAACTCTTGATCTAACCTCAAACACTATCACAAGTCTCGTTCCAAACCAACTCGGTGATCTCAAGAACCTAAATATCTTAAACTTGGGCAAAAATCAGTTATATGGACCCATTCCACCATCTCTTTCAAACATTTCATCTCTCACCGTTTTAAGCCTAGGCACAAACTCTCTTAGTGGTCCAATTCCTTCTGAATTGGGTCGTCTTCAAAGGCTACAAGTCCTTGATCTCACCATAAACAATCTCACCGGAACAATTCCTTCTTCTATCTATAACATCTCTTCTCTAGTCTCGTTGGTTATTGCTTCAAACAACTTATGGGGTCAATTTCCTAGCAACATAGGAGAGAAACTTCCAAATCTCTTGGTTTTCAACGTGTGTTTCAACAAGTTCAGCGGAGAGATTCCAGCTTCTCTATATAACCTCACAAACATCAAAGTGATCCGCGCTGCACACAACCTTCTAGAAGGGACCGTACCATCAGGACTAGGCAATCTCCCATTTCTAGAAATGTACAACGTGGGATTCAACAAGTTAGTTTGGGGTAATGATCAAGATCTTGATCGTTTCATCAAGTCTTTGAGTAATAGCTCCAAACTTAACTTTCTTGCATTTGATGGAAATCTCTTGGAGGGTGTTCTTCCAGTATCTATTGGCAATTTTTCGAAGAATCTTTCAAAGCTTTTCATGGGAGGAAACCGATTCACGGGTGAAATTCCAGAATCCATTGGCTATCTCACGGGATTGACTCTGCTTAACATGAGTGACAACTCACTCACTGGTGAAATCCCTCAAGAGCTTGGGAGGTTGAAAGGTTTGCAAGTGCTAGAACTCGCCGGAAATCAACTTGTTGGAAGAATCCCAACCTCTCTTGGTGATCTTGGCGCCTTGAATGAGATCAATCTATCGCAGAACAAACTAGAAGGTATGATCCCACCATCATTTGGAAACTTCAAGAATGTGTTATCCATGGATCTATCCAACAATAGGCTAAATGGGAGCATACCAAATGGCGTTCTTAACTTGCCTAGCTTGAGTTCTGTCTTGAATCTATCTAGAAACCTATTTACTGGTCCTATTCCTCAAGATATAAGTCGTCTCGAAAGCCTTGTGAGTCTAGATCTCTCTAGTAACAAGTTTTCAGGCAACATTCCTTCGTCGATCAAAGATTGTCAAAGCTTGGAGAGGCTAAGCATGGCTAGTAATGATCTAGGGGGACCAATTCCAAACGCATTAGCAGAACTAAAAGGTCTAGAGTTTCTAGATCTCTCTTCAAACCAATTGTCCGGTGTTATTCCTCCAAAACTACAAGATTTACAAGCTATGAAGTTCTTGAATCTTTCATTCAACAATCTTGAAGGAAGGGTTCCAAGCAGTGGAGTTTTCAAGGATCGTACTCAAGTTTATATGGAGGGAAATCCAAAGCTTTGCATCAACACCACTTATCGAAAAACTCGGACGACGCACAAGAGAATTTTGAAAGCGAGCATTATTACATGCGTGGTAGGTGTAATTGCAATATGTGTGATAGCTTTCTTGATTTTGAAAAGAAAAGCAAAAAAGTCTATCGCATCTACATCATCATCAAATGCACTCCACAAGGAACCATTCATGAGTGTCTCATATGACGAGCTCAGGAGAGCTACTGAGGATTTCAACCCTAGAAATCTTCTTGGTGTTGGAAGCTTTGGATCAGTGTTCAAAGGGGTAATAAGAGGGCTTGATGTTGCGGTAAAAGTCATCGATCTCAGAGCAAACGGATACTATAAAGGCTTTATCGCAGAGTGCGAGGCTTTGAGGAATGTAAGGCACAGGAATCTTGTGAAACTAGTAACTTCTTGCTCAAGCATAGACTTCAAAAACACCGAGTTTCTGGCTTTGGTGTATGAGTTTTTGAGCAATGGAAGCTTAGAAGAATGGATCAGAGGAAGGAAGATAAAATCTGATGGGAGTGTTGGGTTAAGTCTTGAAGAAAGAGTGAATGTAGCCATTGACATTGCATCTGCATTGGATTATATGCACAATGATTGTGAGGTTCCTGTGGTTCACTGTGATCTGAAACCAAGCAATATTCTTCTGAATGAAGAAATGGTTGCAAAGGTCGGCGATTTTGGGCTGGCTCGTGTGTTGTTTGACGCATCCGATGATCGTCATCACGCTTCTATAAGCTCCACACATGTCTTGAAAGGCTCCATTGGCTATATTCCTCCAGGTTAGTAACTTATATGCAAAACTCGTAATTACTCATTGTTTTCAATATTTGTTTACTTGTCCTTTTTAATCAGTTAAATCTTAAATGTAAGCATTTAGGTTAATGTTTTACCGTTATTTTAGGGGGAAAATTAATTATTTTATTAATCAAATTACAAAGTATTATAAAAATTTGAAACATAAAAATATGACTCGGAATGGTATTATATATTCAGAGTATGGACTTGGAGAAAAGCCAACACCAGCAGGCGATGTGTACAGCTTTGGAGTGATGTTGTTAGAGCTCTTGAGTGGGAAAAGCCCAATGGACGAGAGCTTCGAAGGAGATCAAAATCTGCTAAAATGGATAAGTGATGAGTTTCAAAATAATGCAATTGTGGAAGTGATTGATCCTAAACTCAAGGGTCTCATCGATATTTCTGGTGCACAACTTCATACAAAACTTGATTGCATTACCAAAATTGTGGAAGTTGGATTGGCTTGCACTAAGTATGCAGCTGGTGAACGGATCAACATGAGGGATGTGCTACGCTTCTTGAAAGAGGCCAAGAACATACTTGTCAAAGGAAACTAATTAACTCTTATTTTCCATTAATGGACATAATCTATTACCCTTAGTTACTTATAAAGTTATATAATTAAGTGCATAAGTCTATCTTATCTCTATAGTTTTTTTTTGTTTTTTTTTTTGTCAGATATTTACAATTTTGTTTGATAAGTTGTTTGTCTCTATTAAAAAAATAATTGGTTTTAATAATGTAATTTTCCGAAAATAAATAGATGTTAAATGACAATATAGTAAAAAGATGTAGAACCAATCCGGTTTTCTCCAACCTCTGTACCAAACCGGTAACCGGTTAAAACACCAAAAAAACAAACAAAGAAGGTGAGACGCAAATTCCAACTTTATCCATTAAGATAATGAGTCTTCTCTCTTCTTCTTCTGCTCGCAGCTGCAAACTAATTTGCTCTTCCGACAAGGTTCTCTCTATACTCTGTACATTTCGATATATACGGTTTGATAAATGGCGATGAGATTATATACACATATGTACTTATTCGAAAGGGCAATGGAAGTGGAAGAGAATGGAAATTTCCAGTTCCTGTAAAGCACAAAGATTTTGAATTTCTGATCAAGAAGTTAACTCCGCCGCTCACGGCGGTTCTACTCGCGGCTTCACCGATCTGTTACCCTCCAGGTAACCCTGTTTTCCTCTGTCCCGAGCCTCCCAATTTAGAGGATTTCATTTTAAGAACAATCTGTCTGATTTTTCTGTTTCATTCAAGAATGTTGCTTGTTAAAGTTTCTTGCGTTTTATGGTGATTTCTTGTTTGGTGATAATTGTGATGTATAGAATCTCTCGGGCAAACCTTGGATATACAGAGAGGAGCAACACTGTTCAATAGAGCTTGTATTGGGTGTCATGATACAGGTGGAAACATTATTCAACCAGTGAGTCTATAAACACTTCAGTGAGAAAACTCATGAACCATTCTTTATTCAATTCTCTGCAATGATCTCATATCCTTCTCTTTCCAGGGCGCAACACTTTTCACAAGTGACCTCCAAAGGTAGTAAAATAACCAATGCTCCAACTCTCAAAGAGATGTCTTGTGTGCGGTTACAAAGATCTTTGTCTCTCAAGGTTTGCTATGGGTCTTTTTTTCTATCTTTACAGAAATGAAGTTGATACAGAGGAAGAGATATATCGTGTTACCTACTACGGAAAGGGAAGAATGCCGGTGAGATCTCCTTTCAAGAGCTTCCTTGTAAACTTATCTAAATGATCTGAAAGAGAACTATGTCTGATGATTTACTTACAGGGCTTTGGGGAGAAATGCACACCGAGAGGACAATGTACCTTCGGACCACGGTTACAGGATGAAGAGATCAAGATTCTGGCTGAGTTTGTGAAGTTTCAGGCTGATCAAGGTTGGCCAAATGTATCCACCGAGTAGAGCAAGTAGCAACAGACATTAGTAAGAGTTTTTGTAGCATTAGTTTGATATTCCTCTGTTCCAAATCCTGTCTAAAACTCAGATTTGAGAATGCTTCATTGATTCTGCTTATGCTCCAAGATGTTCTTGAGGTACAACAAAAATTATCGGTGTTTATAATCCACCAACACATATATCTGTTCATAACTTTTGACTATCCTTGATATTAAGCCATTACATATATGCTATTCTGAATATCTTTCCTCTGGAGAAAAATGCAGTGGAAAAAGAATAGGTGATGTTTACTATTGTAGTCTCATGAGTGAAAACTGTGAGGAGCAAGCATAACCTTTCACTCATTCATGGTTCTTGAGAACCATCCGGTTATGATGACTCACTCCGCTTTCTTTTCTTTGCATCTGATTCACCTAACTGCAACGAGAAGCCAATCTCATCACCTGAGCCACTAGTCTTAAGCGAAGACAGATTCTTGGATTCAAGATTCTCAGGTCCATTGATTTTCTGATGGAGTGGGGATCTGTTGTTACTTGCACTCGGAATAAACTGGTGTTCTTCGATGACACCAGCCGATTCCAACACGTCCTCTATTTGAAACTCCGGATGAATGTTTGAGTTGTCTTCTTCTCTAACAACTTGCTGTACATTCAAGTTAATAGGCTCAAAGTTCTCACCCGTTTTACACCTCGATATCTTGTACTCACCCGGAGACGATTCCACGACCATGGAATCAACCGCGGCACACATAACACCGTGTCTCTGTTCTTGCACCGCGGCTGCACTCAGACAAAAAGAGACATTCAAGTATACTAAAACGTAATGAAACAAAAGAAACCTGAAGAGAAGATCATACAGACCTTGAAGACCTTCATTGGAAGTGATGAGTTCAAGCTCAAGAAGGTTAAGAACTCTGCCAAGATCAACTCCACTTGTCCAATTCTCAGGTTGTTCCCCTACTTTTAGCTTCAACCTTCCCCGGTTAGCTGTTCCGCCCCAAATAATCCCAACAGGTCGCGGTTTCTCATCTTTTTCATCCAGCAGAATAAGGCTTCCACTATCACCTTCAAGATCAAAAGTCTGTTGGTTCTCACCAACAACAAGAAAATCTGTTAAGAAACAAATCCCTTTCTCGTCATTGTACTCCAACGCGTAAGCCATTATAGTCCCAGTGGTTAAACCGGAGCTTCTTCCAACTTTCACAACTTTTCTTCCTATTAGACTGTTAATCGGAGACTGTAGATCAGTAGCGTGGATATCACCAATCTCACCAATTCCTTTAACAGTTGTGGTTACATTGTTCATATTGAAGTCCTCAGCGAATGGAATGAAGGCTCCATCAGCTCGAACAAATGTTTCTGCAGAAGAGAAAAGAATGAGAATGTGCTTACGTCAGCCATTAGACTACACAGTCAAAGCTACTATATACTTTGTTATTACCGGACTACCTGGGTTAGTTCCAGCGAAAATGCCATACCAAAGATCATCTGTAATGAACGAAGTTGCTCTTTCTACTGCACCTAAGTAGACTCCTGGTCCAAGGCTAGGTGGTAATGGATGAAACATCTTCTGGCTCGGGTAGTCTAAATCAACTGCCACATGCCGGTTTGTTAGGAAACCGACTTGTCTGATGCCGGTTTTACTCTTTACAATAGCACCTAAGGTTCCATACGTCTCTTGGCTAGCTACCTACAACAAGAGAGACGTGGTCTGATAAACATTGTGTGGTAAGAATGTTGATGATACAAAGCATACATATGCAAGTTAAGTAAATAAGTTGTACCTGTGAACCAGATCCAATAGACGAACCACTGCCTCTAAGATCATCCACAAGCTCTGTATACACCTGCTCTTTAGGCGTTTGCGCAGGTGCACCATAATATTGAAACTCAACAACATCCACATCACACCATACTCCTCCAGGACCCTGTCAAAGTAAGATACTTTTAAGAGAAAAGAGGATTCCAAAACTCATTTTCAATAGGTTCCAAGTTTGTAGTATCTCCCCAAGCAAGAATTGCGATAAACAGATGATTTTAAATCAAGAAAGTGAAGATATCTAACCTCCAAGGCTGTAGGTAAGCACTGAAGAGGATTAAGCCATTGCTTGTGAACTTTCCGAGCAACAAAGACAAGAATAGCGGCGATATTCGTCAGAACACCTCGTCGAATCCGGAAACCAATAGCTGTACCGAGGCTAAACCTCCTCAAGTTCTTACTATGAAACGCTCTGATCATCATCAGCTCAAGCAATGTAGTAGCTTTCTTCCCTGTAGGCAAACCATCAAAGGTCTCAGGCAAAACGCCTTTTTGAAGGTTCGCGAAATAGTTTGCTCTGTCTTCCGCTGAATCGTTTAGTCTACTTGAAGTTGGCCAAGAGAAGTAAGCAGCAGCAGCAGCACTTGTGGTTTCAGGATGCTGACCGCCAGATGGAAACGGTTGAAGCGGTGGCGGTGAAGACGCCATTTTAAAATGACTGTAACCATTTTTATTATCCAAATCAAATGCAGATTCCACGGATTGTTGTGATGATGTTGAATGATGAAATCTAAGATCCAATCTTTTCCCCTCCATCTTTAACTTCACTACCTTTGAAGATAATTTTACCAACCTATATACTAAATTGAATCATGTGCATTAGTAAAAAAGAGTCAAACTTTCTATCAAATTAACCAAGAACAGAGCTAAACATAAACAGATTAAAAGAAACCAAATTTAAGAACACAAGCCAGCTTTTATCATCAATGAATTCAAAATAACACCAAAGTCTCAAAAACCCAATTTAGTTTATTTATTTATAAAGGTTATAGCTTTATCGGGAAACTATTTGGTAAAGTGAAAATCATCATAAACCCAGAAAAGGAAACACGAAAAAACGGAGCAAACTAATCAAAAATCCAAAGAGAAATTACGGAATTTTGGGGTATATTCGACAGAGAGAAAGAAAATACTAACCGATCAATAGTGTTGGATCTTTCGCATGCTTAGAAAGGACGAATACAAACGGATTGAGGAAGAAGTGTAATAATAGAGAGGACCCAAGAGGTTTTTAGCTTGAGAGTGGACGACGAAGACTTTCTTTTTTTGTTATCTCAAAACAAAAACTGTGGAAAGTGCGACTCTTTTGTTTGCCAATTATATATTTTTACTTTTCGTTTATTTTAATTTTTTTTATTGTTTTGTGTACTTTTTAATTGATTTACAAATAAAAAAATACAAAAGCGGATAATATATTTTTGAACGGATTTTAAAATAACAAATAAAATCCATACTAATTTAAAAATCAAGGGAATATGCACTAGATGATCCTAAAATTCTCATAGAATAGAAATGACAGTTTTAAAAAAAAAATCAATTAGTAGAATACATAGACGAACAGATCTTTCTTAGTTTTGGTTCTCTAGAAAAAACAGAATTTTTTTTGGTTCTTTACTGAAAATAAAAGTAGATCACTGTAGATATTCATTTATAATTCCTGAAAGAAGCCATTTGTCCATAGTATAAAACCAAGAAGTGGAATAAAGATTCAAAAGACATTTGATAATGTTTCTTTTTGTAAACTTATCTTCAAAATGGTGTGATCACACTCAAACGTCATTAAGAGCAAATCATGCTCACATTCTCTCTCTCTCTCCTTCTCATCTTTGACCAACGAAAACTAAAACGCAATAAGCAAACCAAAAAGCTATTATGAATCAAAATGTTTCAAAATTTAGGTTGATTTCCAAACATACAACCACTTTGCAAAATGTAGAACATAACATGGCCAGCAACATTCACACACACACACACACAAAAGTACTGACTTTTAATCTGGAATACAAAGACACTAGACATGTGTTCTTTCAAGGCTGTTGTTATTTAGGACAGGTGTTTGGTCCTTTTACGAGGAGAATCTGTCACGGTCGTGAGGTGAAGAGTAATCGATGTTCGGCCCGTGAGGGATGATCCCGAAAGGATTTATAGTAGGGTGGCTTCCGTAGTAATGCTGCTTAATGTGTTCCATTTTCACAGTGCTACTCATTCCATTGATTTGGTATATATCTTTCATGTAGTTGAAGATATTCGGATACTCCCTTAAGAGTCTCTTGTTGCATTTGAAGTGAACCGCATAAACCTGCAACGCCAAAAAAGAAGAAGATGATATCAAGAATCCATATGTTGGTAACAAAGAAGAGAGAAGTCAATTCAAATACCTCATCAAATCTTATGAGAGTGACAAACAATCGAACATCTGCTTCAGTGAAAGTGTTTCCGCAGATGTATCTTTGTTTCCCGAGTATTGCCTCACATCTATCAACAGCTTCATACAACTGATTCACTGCCTGAAAAAGGAAAGGACAGAATCATTTAGCTAAGTTCCACTTTTAAAGGTATAAACTTTGAGTGTATCTTTCTACCTCATTGTAAGGTTCTTGTTTCCTAGCAAACCCACATCTATAAACACCGTTGTTTATCCCGTCGAAAACCCATTCGTTAGTCTCGTCGATTGCGTCTCTGAGATGAGAAGGATAAAGGTCGAGTGATGGGCTTTTCGCAATACCGTTGAACTCGGTGTTGAACATCCGGATTATATCTGAACTCTCATTGTTAACTACAGTCATAAGCTTCTTATCCCAAAGAATCTGAGACAATTTTGAAAACAAAACGAGACTTTGAACATTTTCAAGAAACAGGACAAGAGAGAACAGAGAGTTTTCACACTAAGAGATCAAGACTTACAGGAACAGTGTACTTTCCTGCATAGTTTGGGCTAGCAATCTCATAGAGATCTCTCACAGACTTTGCACCATTAAGATAATCAGGCTCAGCTCCAGGGAGCTCAGTATCTGAATCTGGAAAAACCCATCCTTTATGATCATCTGTTTCCTTGGTTCTTCCCCAAATTGTGTGAACCGACTGATCAAAATCATATAGAAAGCAATGCTTCAGGTAACAAATTCGATATTGAAATTTCAGGATTAAGAATGATGATGATTGATACTGACCGAGAAGCTGATTGCTTCGTCAAGGCCTTTGATCTTCAAGTAAGAGAGACATCTACAAGCCCAGGGACAAGCATAGGATATGTAAAGATGGTATCTTCCTGATTCAGCTGGAAACTGAGAACCAGGATCTTTTGAAACAAAGTTGCGGAATGTTGATGCTGTTCTTACAAAAGCTCCAGATTCTGATGTCTCATCAATCCCAGACCTAGCCATTTTTTCTTGTTGCTAACAATAATGAAAAACACAATCAAAAGATGATCACAAAACGAATCACAGTTTCAGGCAGGATTTTCAAATGTTTATAGCCTCCAATTTCGCTTAGCGCAATTCAGATCGAAATCGAAATTCAGTACAAGTCTAACAAGATCATGATTCATGAAGTTAGGATAATGGAGAAACCTGATCACGCTGATGATGTTTTTGTGTGTTCGAAGCAAGATCCAAAGATAGAAGAAAGCAAATGTCGCTGTTGTCGAAAGATGCTTTTTTGGCGATAAGGTTAAAAAGTCGCAGTTTTGATGGGACAATGCTAACGATGGGTGTCTTCTTATAGTGGTTGTGGTTGAGAAAAATTAGCGAAAGAGAAGGAAGAAGAAAAAGACTTTGCCTTTGTCGTCACTCGTCATTGCTTTTGTCACGCCCAACGAGTTAACTCAGCTGCTTTTTGTCACGCCTATCGAGTTAACTCAGCTCCGGGAAAAGTGTGAAAACTTTTGGACCGTTTATGCGTGATGGACCGGGTCAAGACTGCGGTTCTTTTGACCGGTTTGAAATAGGTTATGGTTATAAATTGTTCAACCGGTGCAAAAAAAAACTGGGAACAGAAATGGTAGAACGCATATATAGGAAGGGTTAAATGATAATTTTAAGAAGATTCAGGATTTCACTGTGTATGAGTGTATCAGATGAATAGTCGACTGATCGAATAGTAGAAACATTTGCTTCACTAAAATTACAAAAAAAAACTATTTAGCTGATACACTCCATATAAGAAAAGACTCCTTCAAATACAACTAGAAGGTCAAAATAATAAAATTTCACGGTGCAGAATATATAAACCACAAACAATGATTTGTATGTAACTCTATATAGTACAAATCAAGACCTATATCTAATAGCTTAAAACGAAGACAGCGTTTTAGATTATTAACTATAAAGACATTTCACCAGTCTTTATGCTGTTTCAGAGGAGAATCTGTGTCGGTCATGAAACAAAGAATAATCAATGTTTGGTCCCTGAGCTATAATCCCAAGAGGGTTTAAAGAAGGAAAGCTTCCAAAGTAATTTTGCTTTATATGATCCATATTTACTGTACTGCTCAAACCCTCGATTTGGTAGATATCTTTCGTGTAGTTAAAGAGATTGGAATACTCCCTTACGAGCTTTTTATCGCATTTGAAGATCACCGCGTAAGCCTGCAACGCAAGTTTCTCAAAAAACATAATGGGTAATTTAGGAAACCATAAACATAATGTTGGGAGAAAATACCTCGTCAAATCTTATGAGAGTGACGAACAATCTAATATCTGGTTCAGTCAAAGTGTTTCCACAAAGAAACCTTTGTTTTTCGAGTATTTCTTCGCATTTCTCCAATGCATTAAACAATTGCTTCACTGCCTACAAAGAGAGAAAAAAAAAACTTGTAATATCAATTTTTTTAATTAGCATATCTTTATACTTATAAAGCAAAAGTCAGTTGGCAATTGTCCATCGTGTCTTTTTATATTTTTTTATTTTTATTAATTTGAAATATCCATTATTTTACAAAATATCCGTCTAAAATCTTTTTTTCTCTTTTTAAGTGGCTATTCTTTAGGTTAAATGATATTAAGTTAATACTTTTAATCTCTGATTAAAAAAAAAGAAAAGTGTGATAAATTAAACAACAAAAAGTTTCACGGTTGAGATTTCCTAGCTTTCAATCTCCACCTTTTTCACATAACTGTTATGAAAAAGTTAAAAAAAAACTGCTTAGAACTAATAAAAATTGGATATACAAAAACACATAGATCTACAAGGGGACTTCGGGTAAAAGTTACCTTGAAGCTAACTTCTCATGGCGAATAGCAGAGTCGACAACGTTTGAAAAAGTATGTATACATATTTAGATTCATATGACAACATATTGTGTCTGGTTTTTCTAAGACTTTGGATTTCTGCTTTAGGTATTTACAGAGAAGTCTCAATGAAAATTCACAGAGAAGTTTGACGTTTGCTTATTCGGCGTTGTATTTTTGGAGCTAATAGCCGGACGTTGTGAAAACAATGCCTATGTAGATGATAGCTTGACTGAGTACGTATTTACTCCGACTTCAAATAATCTAACTTTCCATGAATTTTTAACAATATGACTGTTGAATACAGCAAATGCTCTGTTTTATAACCTTTTCTTAACCGAGCATCTGCAAGAAGGAAACTTTGAGGATTTGGTTGATACAAAGATGAATAATGACTATGACCGAGAGGAGATGACTCGCATGGTTGGTTGTACTTCGGTTTGCGTTTTCTCACCGTATATCTTGCATGATCTAGGTAACTTAATTTTTCCCCAATCTTCCTTTTCTCTAAGGGTTAGCATTTGGTTTTGAAACTAGAACTAGAAAGTTCAGTTCTAATAAATAAGAAATTCAAGTTAACCTCAGGTTCAGATTGCGTTGTTTCTTTTACAAACAAAAAACAGAAGAAGCTGTAAACAATAAAGAAGTGTAAGAAGAGGATATAGGCGAGGAAGAAGAAGAGAAAAATGATGAAGATTTTTCTTTATATTTTAATTGTTTTGTAAATTTAAAATACAGATGAACACAGTTATATTCGATAATATGTAGTATGTTGTTAGAAACTTATGACTTTAGATCTATATTGTTTAGAAAAATAAAATAAAATAGACAATAATAGTATTTGCATGTAGATGAATAGAATAACATATCGATAAACTGCATATTGTTGGAATTGCATCTTTATGTAATCGTTTTTCAAATACAAATAGTCATTTTAGCCTGCACGAGGTGCGGGCACAATACTAGTTGATAATAAACTGCAAAGTAGCTTTACCTCATTATAAGCTGCTTGATTTGTAGCAAAACCGCATTTATAAACACCATTATTTATCCCATCGCGAATCCATTCGTTAGTTTTGTCGATTATGGATCGGAGATTGAGAGGATAAAGCTCGAAAGAATGGTTTTCAGCAATATGATTAAACTCGGTGCTGAACATTCGAAGTATCTCAGAGCTCTCATTGTTAACTATAGTCTTAAGCTTCTTATCCCAAAGAACCTACCAAGTCACAAAGAATCCGAATGTTTAAAAAAGAAACAGAACAAGACTTAAGATTAAGGACACACCCATGGATTAAAAAAACTTACAGGGACAGTGTATTTGCCTATGTAGTTTGAGTTAGCGATATCATAAAGCTCTCTTATACTTTTGGCACCATTAAGATGGTCTCTCTCAGCTCCAAGAACCTCTGTATCTGAATCTGGAAAAACCCATCCCATATGCTCATCGTTTTCTTTTGTTTTTCCCCAAAGTGGTTGAACAGACTAAGTAATGAACAAACCCATCAAGATTATATTCCGTAAATAATTAAAAATTGATTTCTCGAACACAGTTTTTTTTAACTAACCGAGAAGCTTATGGCTTTGTCAAGTCCTTTGAGTTTTAAAACTGCAAGACATCTAGAAGCCCATGGACAAGCATAAGAGATTTATAAATGGTATCTTCCTGATTCTGCTGGAAACATAGAATCAAAATTTCGTGAAACAAAGTTGTGGAATCATGTTACGGCTATAGGAAAATCCGAAAGCTCGTTAGCTAATGATGCAGCCATTGGAGAAGATTAAAAACATTACGAAACAGAGGTTTTTTAGAAGATTAAAAACATTACGAAACTAGAAATCTACTCAAATCAAGCTGCAACAGCATATACAACGTGTAAGAAACATTTTTTCTAACAAGAAAATTAAGAACTTGATCAAGAATTAACCTGGATGATGTAGCGAGTCTTCAACTTTTCTCTTCGATGGTAAGTAAGTAATAAAGGTCAAAATGAACTTGAGTCAACTTTGGCGTGCAGAAGAAGTTTATTGGATTAGAGAGAAGAAAAAACGAAAATTCTTTATCGTTTGACAAATGTTGCTGTTTCTTGGATATAGTTTCTCCAAGAAAAGAGATTGAAATCAAATCGATAAAGTTGAATACTCTATCCATCCACATGGTTAAAATATCCAAACAATAGTAAGATGATCAAACCTAATAATCCACGTCTATAAAATGCTAATTCTAACTGAGATTTTCATGATAATAGATGATTAATCCACACTAATGTTCTGCCTGATTAATAGACGAGAACTTGACATCTAGGAGAAAGCTTTGTGGATGTAAGAAGCTTCTTGTAGCTCTCTTGGTTTTTAATAGGATGCTTAAACCACAAAGTCAGTTTCTTTAGGGATGCTGCATTCTTAAGAAAGTAATTAACTAGTTTAATCCCTTTTCCATCCTCCATTATCAGTTTCTTAATCTTAACATACTCCAGAGTCGATGGTAAACTCCAAGGCGATTTTCTATAGCCGTAAAAAACGTCCTGTAGCAACCCAAAAAAAAGACATAATCATTAATAAATCAAATTATAATAGATCTTAAGCAGATTTTTCTAGATAATCATATGATGATAATGGCTTACAATGGTAAGATCTTCAAGAACAGTAGAGGCTGATATGAGTCTCTGCATTATCGAAAGGCCATCATCGATCTTCTAATAAACGTTCTCTAGATGCATGTTCTTGAGATAAGGCAAAGAAATAACGAACATAGGATCCCTAAGCCATACGTTGAAGAGCTTTAAGGACACTTAGGCATGAACGCTATACCAATGTAATCTACACCAGGAGATAATTCGGACATTTCCTTCTCAACCTCAAGATGTTGAACTCCGCGATGAATCACTTCGGCTATCCACTCCATGACTCTCCTTTCTTGATACTTTATCTTCAACTTTTTCAGGCATGATTTTCGGTTAAGCCTCGATAAGGTTTCTCCGTTAGGAAGAAGATCATTGGCGTTTATGTTCAATCCGGAAACCTTTCGCAATTGCTTCGTTGAAACGCTCGTCTTAGCCAAATCGACTGCGTTTAAGTCTAATAATCCGGGAACGTTTCGCCAGAGAAATCCCCATTTAGCCGAATCAATTGCGTTTAAGTCTGATCTCAAAACGTTATTTAGCCAGAGAAATTCCCATGACTTCGATAAAACGCTCGTCTTGATCGAATCTTGGATCGGAAGGTACGAGAGTATATGAATTAGCAAAGAATCAGGCAATTCGCTTATTCTATCGCGCCCCATCACTATAAAAAGTGAAACCTAAGCGTCAAGATTTGTCGATTTTATCCCAAAATTACTAGCGTTAACGTACCATCGAGGGAGGTAAGAAAAAGTAGGGCCGGCCCTAAGATTGGGTTAGCTGCAGTCAGCTCCCCAAACTATACGTTGTCTACTTAATCCCTCAAACTAAAGATTTCTGTTTATTCCTATCCAAACAATTTATTTTCTGTCTATTCCTCCAAATTCAATTAAAAATTAAAATCACGATCAATTTATTTTTGGTTAGATTGCGTTTTTGGGAGAAATAAACAGAAAGCAAATTGTTTGGGTGAGAATATGCGGAAGTGTAGTCTAGGGGGAATATGCAAAATTTATTAAGTTCAGGAGGCTGAGTGCAGTCAATTTAGTTTTTAGGTTTTTAAAAATATTTAACACATGATTAACTTAATTATATCTATAATATATATTTGTATAATAAAATAAACATATGTTTCTATTAAAAAGGTAGCAATATGACAGCACAATTTATTTTTAAAAAACAAAACTAATATTGGTTATTATACATACATAAACATATTATCATATTGTTTTAAGTATTTTGATTTGAAATACTAATAGAAAAAACTATTTTCGGAATATACTTGATATTATATGACTTATTTACTTGATATTAAACATCTTAGTTCTTAACTAATGCAAGTTTATCATTTTATTGGTTTAAGTATTTTGGTTTGAAGTATTAGTAGAAAAAAATTATTTTTCACAATTTATAAGTTTATGTTAATATACCGGACCAATAGGATAATAAACTTATATTAATTAAGTAGTGTAATAATACTTCTTCTTACTAGCATTTCAAATAAAAATATTCGAACTAATATGATGATAAATTTATATTAATTAAATTGTATAAAGTAAACAAATTATGTATAGTAAAGTAAATCTCAAAAATAGTTTCTTCAAATATACTTAGAACAATAGGATAATAAATTTATATTAATTAAATCGTATCATATCAAATAAATAAGTTGTGTAATGTCAAGTAAATCCTAAAATATATTTCATGCAATCCTCCTATTAGCATTTTAAATAAAAATACTCGAACCATGAATGGTGTAGAAGAGATTTCAACTCTTTGTCTAACGACTCATTACTCATATGTATTCATTTAAGCACAATATGTACATACAATATCTAAGTCTGGAGTCTCTAGCCAATCTGTGTTAGAAGTGATTTAACAATAAATTCGTTTATTTCAGGGATTTATAATAAAAATACTCGAATCAATATAATGATAAACTTGCATTAGTTAAGATGTTTAATATCAAGTAAATAAGTCCTATGATATCAAGTATATCCCGAAAAATAGTTTTTTCTATTAGTATTTCAAATCAAAATATATTAAAACAATAGGATAAAATGTTTATGTATGTATAATAACCAATGTTAGTTTTGTTTTTTAAAAATAAATTATGCTGTCATATTGCTACCATTTTTAATAGAAATATATGTTTATTTTATTATACAAATATATATTGTATATATAATTAAACTAATCATGTGTTAAATATTTTGAAAAACCTAAAAATTAAATTGACTGCGCTCAGCCTCCTGAACTTCATAAATTCTGCATATTCCCCCTTAGACTATACTTCCGCATATTCGCACCCAAACAATTTGTTTTCTACATATTTCCCTCCAAAAAGCAATCTAACCAAAACACGATTTTGTAAATTAATTGTGATTTTAATTTCTAATTGAATTTGGAGGAATAAACAGAAAATAAATTGTTTGAGGAAATTAAATAGACAACATATAGTTTGGGGGCTGACGGCAACCAACCCCCTAAGATTTGAGGGTAAGCTTGAGACCAATTATAAAATAAGGACCATAACCATTTTTTATATAAATATATGTATAAATATAAAAAATTCTAAATAAAAAAATGAAATAAAAATGCATTAAAAATAATCTATGGTTTTTGAAATATAATTTATACATTTTTCCCTTTTATCTATAGAAGATGCTAAACAAAACATAATTGGACTAAATTTGAATCTAAATATTAAAAAATAATTTACAATTATTAACAAATTACAAATAATTAACAAATGAGTCTAATAATTAACAAAACCCTAAACTGGTGTAGTGGCTAATATTATTTTTTACTTGAATTGATTTAATGTATTTATAGTGGAAACTCTATAAATTTGGATTACGATATTTTATTATAATATAAAATTATTAATTAATTATTTTTAAATAAAATTATTTATTAATAATTAATTAAAAATAATATTTATTTAAAAAGTTAATGGTAATTTTAAATATTTTACTTTTAAATAAATATTATTTTAATTAATTATTAATAAATAATTTTTTAAATTAATTATAATTTTAAATATTTCACTTTTAAATTATAGATAAATTATAATTGTTGGGATCCATTTTATCAGATCGAAGGAGAACTTGCCACGTGGGCATAGGCTGCATTAAATGCTGACACACGCTACGCTAGCTCGGCCGATCCACTCTCGCATACTATACTGGGGTAGTTGGCGAGTTTCCCCAGACCCGCCAGAATCATCATTCCCACCTACTCTACGAACGTGCCGCGTGGAAGGGACAAGACGAGGAAACAATAGGTATTAATAGGAGGCAAACCCATCTTCGAGGGGGGGAAGGGGGGGGGGGGGGGGCAAGGCGGCCGAAGCGACCGGAAATCGATAACTAAGACAGTGGCTCCAGCCACATAGCAGGATCACGTGTGAATTTCGCGTTCTTCCCGGGTGAATGCCGACCAGGTTAAGTTATCCCTAAGTCGGAATCCCGTCTTTGTATCCGCTTCGTCTCCCGTCGACGAGTAGAAACCTCTTTAAAAAACCTCAAACCAGATAGGAGCCTCGATCCCCGGACGAAACTTCTCACAATTAACCCGTACAAAACTCTCTTCCCGAGTACCTGTTCCCGGTAGGATGCCTACTGACTTGGACGTTGGAGAACTTTCGGGAGGGAAACCCCCTTTCGGTTCTCTCGGGGGCTCGCCTGACATGTGTTTGAGTGTTCGCAGGGATCAAGTACGACGTGTGTCCCATCATCCCGAGACATGAAGCTTCAGCCCGGGAACAACGATTTGCCGCCTTTCCCCAGAGAACGGAACTCGGAGGCTCAGCTCCAACCCCGACAAATCACCTCCGCCCCCACGTGGCATCCTAAAATTTGTTCCTGAATAGTTGGCGCTGGAAGGAGGGGGATCACCAGCGAACGTTCCATGAAGGAAGCGAAGCCTCGAAATTAATTAAAAACCCGGAGGATGCGAAGGTCCCGCCGACGAAGAAGGGCCCGCGCCTCTAGCGCCTCCAGCCACTCCCGAAGTATCTGACCCCCACGACCTGCCATGTCTCTGTTCTTCCTCGATCTTCCGCCTAAGCATGCAGATCGTGGTTTGGCTCATCGAGAAAGCCTCAACCGCCATCAGTGCCAAATCCACCTCGGCCTCCAGAGAAAACC